TGTAGTATTCCACTAGTAGGAGTAATAGGAACAAATTGGGACAAATTAGTTTCTAAGAATACATGTCGACATATGCCAACGTTTACAACTCCCACTGGCAAGCTTAAGGCATCATGATCATATTTGGAGACAAAACCATGCAAGAGTTAACAAGAAAATTCAAAATTTACAAACAAGTAAACTCCATGTAGGCATGCTCAACTCAATAAAATATTAACAACTTCATTTCAAATCAATTATGCTCATGTGCTGATAAAAATCAGTTTAGGTTCTGCCACCATCTCAAAAATAGTTTGAAATATGCTTTTAAAATCTTAACTTTAAAATCCAAGGGTATTTACCATAATTTTACTTACCTTGCCTTGTCAGTGTCCAATAAGTAAGAATTTAAGATCTCAAGGTGGTGAGGTGATTTAGAACCTATATCACATCAAAGTACAAACAAGATTACATTATATCCCATTTAACTAAATTGGTTTCTAATTCAAATATCAAGTTTCTAAACAAAGAAATAATTTCTTCCTACACACTCTTGCCATTTCAACCCATTGAAACCTTACTAATATATTAATATGTTTAATCATACTTAGAATACATTTAAAACAACTTTAAATGTTAAAAGAAACTGCAGGTATTCCCAACAAATTTTTTGAGCAAAATAAAGTATAGAAATAGTTAGAAACCGAGCTCTTAACCATCCTAAACACTAGCAAAAATATTGAGTAGAAAAGTAGAATTTTAGCCATTTAAAACAGTCCTAAGATATTTAGAAAAAATGTTGAACAGCAAGGATTTTTGGGCAAAAAAATAGCAGCAAAATAGTCTAGAATACAAGCTAAAATTGGCAAAAATGAACAACATTTAAGTAAAAATGTAGTAGCAGAAAGGTAGCTGAAACAATAGGAATTTTCAAGACAAAACAAGACAATTTAAGTGCAAAACTACATTAAAAGCCCAATGCAGAAAGGTAGATTTTAACTAACATAATTGCATACTTTCTAGCATGAAAATAGGAAAAATATCAAGTTAAAACAACAATTAACCATAGTTAAAATTTCTAAGTTGTTTAGGACTGTTTCATATGAAATTTTTACAAGAAAACATGTGAATCAAGATGGGTTTTAGTGCGTAGGGCTGAGATAAACAAAGCAAGATTTTAGTAACAAAATCAAGTAGTAACAAGGTGTTTTGTGTAGCAATCCAGAGCTAAAAGTCGAGCAAAACCATGATGCGATGAGGTAGTAGATAATGTGGGAATATAGTAGAAAATAGAGTGATTTTCTAGGCACTTTTGTGGACAAGTTCTTGTCAAATTATGAACCAAAAGTTTCAACAGAATTTCCACCTAGAAATTGACTAATTTGGGTTGAATTTTTAACAAGTCAATTGTAGCTTTATGTCATTTCTTTTTATAGGATAAAAAATCATCTTAATTGGACATCTACAAAAAAAAGTTATGGTTAAAATACTTACATAAGGTCTTGTTGCCAATTGCGTCCACCTTCAAGAACCGAAAATTGCAGCAGAGTTTTCGTCTTGACAACAACTTAAATGGGTTAAATGTCTACTAGAAAAATTGTAGGGGTATCTCTTAACTCTCCATAGAATCAAGAATGGATTTAATCCGATAGCTACAAAAAGGGTTATGAGAAAAATACTACTACAAGATCATGCTATCAAAATTTCCAACAAAAGGGATTAGATTTGGTGGTGTTAGATTATGGGCAACAAATCGAGGAAAACTATGGAAACAAACCCCAAAATTGAAAACCCTAAAGAATTAGAGTTAACCCAATTCAAATCAAGAAGATGAGCATGTGGTTGATTTCTTACTGGAAAGTGTTGGAAAATGGCGTCCTCCCTTTACACTGTATAGAACCCAATACAAACTAGATAACTGAGGAAGCAATATCATCAAGATTTGGAATTGGTTATGATTTTTAGAACCATAAGTTTATAAATCTCTAAATTAGGCTGGGGAGGAAGAAGAAGGACTAAATCTCATCTAATTTTCCAACAA